GTTTAGATCAGGTAGCAGCGCTTTAGCATCTACCATTGTATACCGCAATCTTGGTGATCCGAAAAGGGGCAAGACCTCTATAGCAGAAAATTCAACTTTAAGGCAGCCGTTCAAATTGAATTCAAGCTAAGAAAAGAGTTGCAAAGAAAAGACTTCATCAACATCAGATATACGGACATGGTCCTCTATTCGTAAACTGACTTCGTGAACCATTTTAGTTTTTGGACTTTCCTCCAATCTACATCAGTAAATAGCATGAAAAAAGGCTTGTACTGTGAAAGTCTCTGCCACATCGTTTGGCTCTACTCATAATAAGAAGTAAACCTTGCCTGATGTTTTTTTTTTCTTTCCAAGTCGACTCCAATTACCTCTCCACAGCTACTGGAATGCAGATCTCTGTAGTGCAGCCGCATCATGCGGGGGAGTATTACTGCGTTGTTCGAAATGAGTACACGAAGCAGACGCGAAGAAGTCCCCGTTATGTCAAGTTGAGAGTATGTGCTTCGTTTATCGATTCAAAGACCTCAATTGTTAGCCACGAGGTTTCTTCTATTATATTCATTGAAGTAGCAAGTTTTTGGTCAGGTTGCAGTAGAGACCACAACAGTTTACATTTCCTATTTTAGCTGTTTCCATTTTGCATCTCGTACCTTTGGTTAAGAACGTTTTTCCGATTTCCAATTTAGCTGTTTCGCGTTCTTATATCTTGCATTTTCTACCTTTGGATAGAAACAATCTTTGAAAACAGAAAACTTCAGAGTTCTATATCTAGTCTGCCTCAATATCTTTATGCGAAAAGTTTATTTTGTCAGCGTATTAATGCTAGAGGTTCTTGTTAATTGACAGAATTTACGCACTTCGTTATCTTACTGTAAATACAATGCATTTCACTGTTATGGATTCCCCAATCTTTGCTGCGAGCTACGCAAACATGATATGTCAGTGATTTGTGGTGAAAGCGATTTAGCAACAGGAATTGGTGAATCGTGCTTTTAATACGTAAATCACAGAATCATAGAAATTTTATTTTAAAAAAACACTTAAACGATCAAGATGATTTGGTCTGGTCTTGTCCAACCCTCCCTCCTCTTCGATCTTTCTCGACATCATGATTGAGAAATTTTTCTGCAACTGCCAATGTCACACGGATTGCCGTCAAGGTCTATCCCTTGTGCTATCACAGGACAAGTGGAATTCTCGGATATAAACGTAGAACACGTCAGCAATTTTTATCGTTGAAAAAGAGCAGATAATGTTTTCTTATTATTTCTCGGTGCTAATGAATTGTATTTCTCGGAAGTAAGATCTGTAAAAGCTGGCTTTCTTGCATTGATGAGTGTCTTTCTTATTTTTAGGTGAACAAAAAAAACCTGCTCAAACAAGACGTTTTCAAATGAGTAACTCCTCTGTCGAAGTCAAATCCCAATATTTGGTGGATTTCATCTTTCTATGTTTTTGATGATGCTGAGATTTTTTTTTCTGTGTTTGAACTGCTAGAAGTGCATTCAGTAGAAAAGAGTAGCTCTAATGAATATCAGGTGGCTTAACTTCCAATGTGTCATTACCATTATAAAGGATCTTATCACCTGGAAATTTGTATTCAATTAAGCTTCCTATGTTTATCCGAAATAATCGAATTATGCCAATCCACCTACGCAACAATACAGGATTCATAAAACACGCGTCAAAAATAAGATGCGCTAGTATCGAGAACTAGAGAAGAATCAAATAGGAGCTTGTGTCAGCACTTGTTTTGATATGGTAATCACCTGAAATGCTCAATAGCTGCATCCAGAAGTTCCACTTGTTGTGCAATCGCACAGGTGACTAGAAATTTGGCGGCCACTTTATACGCAATAACACAACTTGACAGCCTCAACTAATCCGAGAAAATCTTCGAACTTTTGCCGACTTCGTTTGTTAAATGGACGACCATGGTGGAATTTCGGTTACAAAAACTTGTTTCTGAAGAAATGGAAAGACGCTTTAAAATCTTTGAAATCATTTGCTGTACTTTTGAAATCATTTGCAGTAGTATGAAGAAGAAACTTTAGGTAGACCAGTCTAATAATAAATCAGTTCCTCAACAACCCCAGTTGCCTCAGCTAGTATTTCCGAGCAAGGAAAATCGACCAGACAATCCCATAGTAGTCGACGCTGTAGCTGGTCATGATATCATTCTAGAGTGTGTGTACGTGCGCGCAAAAGTTATTTGGACTAAGGTATGCTTTTTAAAAACTTACTTATTTGTTCACTTATTAATTACATCACAAAGGTAAAGCTTAGATTGGTGATTCGTCTCCCGAGATATCTTTGACAGATGATGAGGCCCGACTAAGACAAGTCTGGGGTAATCTGAGAATCCGTCAAGTCACGAAGGGTACGTTTTGTCTTAAACACTCGAGAATCTTATCGTGTGCTCTATGACTACAATCTTTTTAGGCGATTCGGGAATATATGCATGTTTCGGATTTTCTCCCTTTTTGACGGACTTTTCTCTGAAGGAGGACCACTTGCAAGTTTATTACCTTCTTGTTGTCCATGCCCCAACTGATGTGCATCTTGAAATGAACCAGAATGCACGTGATAAAAGTTGGCAGGTCCATTTCAATATTAGCATGTAATGGATATTTTGCCAAGGACAATTT